CAGAAAATGCCATTCCTCTGTTATGGGTCGCTGCCTAGCAACGGCCGGTTGTTGCGATTCCCCAAATCTTGCTTTCAGCGAATATTCCATGATGTGTGTGCGCGTGCGTGCGTGCGCACACGGATGCGCAATACAAGTCTTCGACGTAAATTCACAAATTGTATTACTTTTAAAAACCCCAGCTGGTCCTTCTTTCATTAACTGGACATATTAAATAAAAAAAATGTAAAATGGTGCACTGTGTGTCCTGCGAGGTCTTGCGCATTTCGTTGACAGGAGAGCCGGTGGGCAATGCGTGTGGCCGACCAACAGTAGCCCTGACTTCCCAGAAGAGTAACCCGGCCGGCCCGCTGTGCCTGCTTCATAAGCGAAACTTGTGCCACACAGGATATCCGCCCTCACCTCGTCGTGACGGGACACACAGCGGCATGCAGGCTGGTTCACCTGGATCACGCAAACAGCACCTGCGTTCTTAGCTCCTAGATCAGGCAAACAGTAACGGCTTTCTTAGATCCTAGATCAGGCAAAGAGTTACTTGGTTCTTAGTTCCTAGATCAGGCAAATAGTAACCGGGTTCCTAGTTCCTAGATCAGGCAAAGAGTAACCGGGTTCTTAGCTCCTAGATCAGGCAAACAATTACTTGGTTCTTAGCTCCTAGATCAGGCTAACAGTAACTGGGTTCTTAGCTCCTATATCAGGCAAACAGTCACTGGGTTCTTAGCTCCTAGATCAGGCAAACCGTCACTGGGTTCTTAGCGTCTACATCAGGCAAACAGTAACTAAGTTCTTAGCTCTCAGATCAGCCAAACACCATCTGGGTTCTAGGCACCTAGCTCAGGCAAACGGCAATTGAGTCCTTGGCCCCAGATCAGAATTACAGTAACTGGGCTCTTAGCTCCTACACCAGGCAAAGAATAACTGGGTTCACAGCATCTAAAACAGGTTAACATAACTGCAAAAGCATTTCAGTTTAGAAATCACATTTACTGGTACCAAGGATACGTTCGGCATTTTGTTAGGAACTGATTTCAAGAAGTGGAACGGGGTGGTGGTCTTCATAAAAGTAAAAAGTCACCACATCGACCATAAAGTCGTCTGTTGTTTCTATGCTTAATATCACGCCATTTAGAGTGTGGGAAAGGAGGTATGGCTCCCATCATTCGTAACCTCGGCACTAGATTGAGGGATCATGACCGCAGTCTCCGAATAAGCCCCCTGTACATACTGGATCCAAGGATCATTGGGACCCCAGGGCTCGTCTGGATACAGTGTACCTGACACCGTGTAGTCTGGGAGAAGTTCCCCGACGTTCCGAAGGAAAGTCTTGCCCCACATATCCAGAGTCACAGAGATCCAAGCAAGCAACAATCACTGCTCGGCTTACTCTTCGACCTTGACGATGGAGGCAGTACGTTACTCCGAAACGTCGGTAAATTTCTACCAGGTTAAAAGGTGTCACTACCAGAAGACACTACGCTTTACAGCCACCGACATCAGAACTTCAAATGCAACATTAATAAGGTACACACGTTCTCAGTATTCAGAGAACACTGCATTATTCATGTCGTCATGACAACAGCAGATAACAGAGACAGCCAGAAGGAACAGAATGACGCAGGACATGACATATGGACACAAACGAAGCGCCTACATTATTAGAGAACCAGATGTTGGGTCGCCGTACGTCAGCCCGTGTATTATGTCAGAGGTTTTAATTACAGTTCATGGATTGCTTGATGTCCACAGAAAACACAATGTCACCCACAACGCTGAACAACAGATGACAAGTGAGACCCGATGTCGCCATGGCTAAAGCACTGTGTGGCCTCAGCACGCGAAACTAAACGGGCCCATCTGCCGTCACAACACTCGGCAGCTAGCAACCTGGCGTAGACACATCACAGGCGGTACTTGGTTCCAACCCAGATTGCGATACCGGCTATGTTGACTCGGGGTTTTCGTAGTTCTCCTCGGTCTCGCAGGCAAATTCCAGGACAGTACCTCCATCACGCAATGAGCACTTCTTCCAAATACTTTCTGATTCCTCAACCATCCTACCATTCGACACTATATTGTCTTAGCTACTGAAAGCACACAGCATCAAGTGAAGTTTTATTTGCGCTTAATTCTAAAAGAAAATTTTCACTGCTCCGCGGGCCGGATAATAATGTTTCACTGACCGTAGTTTGCCAACCCCAGAGGTGGACTATTTTCTATGTAGCGCCCAACGGCGCGATATGAGGGACAAATTTGGAAGGAACTAGTAGAAGTCGGGTCGTGGCCTATTCGAGATACTACCCCTGCATCTGTTGGTAAGGAAGAGGGGGCCCGAAACATTTCAGTAAGGAAAGCCCGTATATTGCCGAGATTCAAAACGAGCATATCCCAAATACAGTCTACAGCGTTACCTCCACGTCACCCCCTCCCCCAGTAATACGATGTAAATATGTCCATGGTTTATGCTAACCGTCTTACAGTGTATACACTTTTCCACCTTATTCTTCGTACATGTTTCAGTACTAATGTGCCATCCTCAGGTGTCTTTATGCACGTTAAACTACTGTACTGCATGCCATGATGTCTTCATTCTAAAATGACTAAAATCTGTATTCGTCATATAGGACGATGAATTCTAAATAATAAAACTTTTCATGATTCTTCCTACGTCGCACTCAAACACGCGAATTACGCCAATCCTCTTTTATGTGAGCATTCTTCCTACATATATTTGTGTATCGTGTTCTGTGTTGTGTTTTGCTCCTGTTACTGCATGCGTTGTACTGCTGGATTTGTGTGTGTGTGCTGTCTTCATTTTGGTTGTGTTATGATGTTGTGGGGGTAGGAGGTGAAGTGTTGTTATGCTGTTCTGTGTAAATAGTGTGTAATTCGTGAAATACTGGGTTATATATTTCTTTATTTATATTGTTCATATGTGTGTTTTCTTTGTCGTTCTGTATATACGATAGTTTTCCAATGTGTTCAAGTATTTCCCTTTCTTATTTGTTGCTATGTAAACAGCTTTAAAACGACAAATGGCAGTCCTAATGTTACCAATAATTTTCTGTCCTACTGTACAAATGACGCCCCATTAAGATAAGAGCAAAAAGGATACATCGACCATGATGATGGAGTCGATAATTTCTCCGAAACATTGTTCTTTAACTCAGCACTGCCACATTTGATACTTCGTGAATCTTACATAACATACGCGTTCATCAGTCGTATTGGACGGTGTTGACGCTGTTTAGTTAGGAAATGAAACAGCAAGACTCTGAATTTTGACGTAAGCTTACCCGACTTGGTTACACATGGCTTACTTTGCTCAGTCGTGGCGCGAAGCTCCAAATTCGCCATGAAATTAGAGAGACCCTGTGTGTTCCACATTTTAAGTTTTCCATTGGCGAATTCATTGTAAAACAAACAAACTGGTAGATTCTAAAGGGTTCTGGCGGTGGTGTATAGCACTCAAACTTACTGGGTTTTCGGACTTTGTTCGTAATCCGGTATTCTAGAGGCTACAAAAACACAACGTTTCGGAAACTGAACTATTAAAACTGCGGAAAACACCAGGATTTCCTAATTTCGTAGCGAATTCAGGGCTTCGTACCACGAAATGAAAGTGTGTCACGAAACTGGGGAAGGTTCAAGCTATGAATGCCGTGAAGCCGTTCCCGCTCACGGACCTCGGGGCTGGGAGAGACAAAACAGTCCGCGCTACATATCGAATCTTACCTGACGCTTGTAGGGACTGTCATTAGAAACGACTCTAAACACGCGAGACAACAAACAATTAAGAAATATGGATCAAATGTACTTCGGTAGGTTTCTATAAGAACCGGTTTCGGACGAATTAGGGCAGTGGGAGGTCTGATTTGCATAGACGGAGCCGAGAAGCCACACAGTGCACAGTGACGCAGGTGTCCGGCTGCAAACAGTACTGTCTGCACTCAACCAAGTCCCAGACCGTGTTTTTATTTCTGTTTGCATTCTTCTAACGACGTGGTCTGTAGCCCAGACTTCACAGCATTGAATGGTGGGGGTGATTAGTGAATGAATTGAAAAGGATAGGAACTTAAGTTACTATCCACAGATACTTGTCCGGAGAGACTGAGGAAAACCATGGAATAAAAGATAAATAATTGATGTTTGTGATAAACACATCTGGAACACAAATACACTGTGGCCAGAATGCAGAGTTCAGTTCGTACCTAACAGGAAACACATTACGTCTCGGCTACAAAGCCCAACCGGTTAATGCAGTTTAGGGAAATAATCGCTGTTTATTGTGAGAACCATACGGAACACACAAATACACTGTGTGGGCACAATGCAGAGTTCAGTTCGTACCTCACAGGAAACACATTACGTCTCCGCTACAAAGTCCAACCGGTTAATGCTGTTTAGGAAAACAGTCGCTGTTTACTGTGAGATCCATACGGAACACACAGGTACACTGTGTGGGCACAATGCAGAGTTCAGTTCGTACCTCACAGGAAACATATTACGTCTCCGCTGCAAAGTCCAACCGGTTAATGCTGTTTAGGGAAACAGTCGCTGTTTACTGTGAGATCCATATGGAACACATAAATACACTGTGTGAGCAGAATGCAGAGTTCAGTTCGTACCTCACAGGAAACACATTACGTCTCCGCTGCAAAGTCCAAGCGGTTAATGCTGTTTAGGGAAACAATCGCTGTTTATTGTGAGATCCATACGGAACACATAAATACACTCTGTGGGCAGAATGCAATGTTTCATTTAGTACGTCTAAGCGGATGGTATATATAGTAAACACTAAGCTTCAATGGATTAATATTATCCTTCTACCTCGCCTCGGTCTTCAAGGTGGACTTTTCCTCAGAAATTATGCACATCTTCAGCCACTCGTATCCTCCCAGATTTCACTAACTTCACAAGAGCAGGTAACTTTATAAACCAACCAAGTCCCAGCCCGCTTCGACTTGACTACATCCAAACATTTTCCCTGGCTCAAAACTTACCGGACTTCCTTTTCTCCTCAATGACGAGAGACTTGGACCTTTTGACCCGAAGAGATCTCCTCTTGATGGACCGTAGGAACGATTCTGCAACCGGCAGCTTCATGGCACAAGGGACCTCGCTCTTGTCACTACAGGCCCCTTTACGATCCGGCCACCATTTGCTTACCACGTGCAGCCTGATGTAACGGCGGAGGAGCCACAAAGCTCCTCGCTACGACACTATCAGCGTACAACCGAAACAAGCCCGATATCACAACGGATGATACTCGAATCACATTAATCTTATAATCACGAATGGAAAAATGTTGCAAAGAAAATGCACAGTAACACGAAGGATACTGAAAACCTTTTCCTGAAGGAAAGTGACACTAATTGCAAACAGATCGAAAACACTAATTAAAAATAACGTTCTTTACAGCTACTCTTTAATTGTATATGATTACCGCGTCAATCAGTCACATTAAAATCACAATATATTATGTTATTATTGTCATATATAAACCGTTTGAAATACATAAAAAAAATTAAATTATTTCTATGTCCCTATAGGCAACGGCACGAAAATAACTCTGGATTTTGCAATTCCTAACAACTGGATATCCCAGCGTTTATCGTCACAGGACACAAGAACATTCCCTCATCAGACGTTCTTGCGACACACGTTATCAATCTGCTGGTCTATGAGTGATAAGCTGAAACCAACAGGTAACTCACACACACACACACACACTACCACTGAGCAGAACAGACTTCCACCACGTGCTCACTGCGCGTTCGGTAGAACTGGACCGTACTGCATGCAACCTGCAACAGCTGATGGGTGCCACTGAACCGATCAGAACCAACGGGCAATGGAAGTTGGATGTAAGAGTAGTGGGGGAGGGGAGGGGAGAAGAGGGGCGAACCATTAACCACAACAAGTTAGACATGAATACGCACGCGATGAAATGCGTAAATTGTGCGGATGAAAATGAAGCCGCACATTCTTTATGCCGCTCAGAGTGACCGCGCGGTCTAAGGCATGAACTATCTTCGCTCGCTCACAGACTGCGGTCGTGGGTTCGAAACCCACTCAAGGCATGAATGTTTGCGTCTATTCTGTGGTTTGTGTTGTCTGTCCTGTGTACGTAGATAGCGGTGAGGTTAAGTAAAGCTATCCCTGCAACAGGCCGTGGAGGGCCATAGGGTTGTGAGACGTCGAGGCTCCCCACATTTTCTAGACATTCGGCTCACAGATGGCGGTGAGGTTAAGTAAAGCTATCCCTGTAACAGGCAGTGAAGGCCAATTGGGTTGTGAGACGTCGAGGCTCCCAAATTTTCACGACAATCGGCTCACAGATTGCGGTGAGGCTGTCAGCGCGTCGGCGGCCCTCTAACCCCAGGAAGATTCCTGGTACTCATTTCTGTTAGGTGCTGAAACGGCCCAAGATCCATAGTGCGGCTGGATGATTAAGTCAGTTGAAAAATCCAATGACAATACCGGGAATCGAACCCGCGACCTGCCGGCCTGTAGCATAGTGCCTCAACCAACCATGCACATATTTGTGATTGAAATATGTTTTCCCAATCTGAACATTAAAAAATTGTCCACTACATTTCAGCAAGGGAATTTTGGGGCTAAGGTACACGTAGTGTTTGTACCTCTTTATTGGAACTGCCGAGAAACCTGTCGGAAAATTTTCACTTCATGCATCCTGTTGTGTTATAATATACAATTTATTTATTAAAACCGTCACAACACAACTTGGTACTGACCTTAATATAGTTGTGTTGTGACGGTTTTAATAAAGAAATTGCCGGAAAATTGTTGCAATTATAGTTCCGAACACCACTGCCATCTACCGGCTATATGGAGAACTACCAGGGGATCAAAACAGTACCGCCGCATAGTTTCACTCTCCCTCGTCAGAGTTCTTCCGGCATACACGCGCGTCGCCTAGCGGAATTCGCGTGTATCACTTTGTACGAGACATATTCGTGCTCCCGACATCTCTCTGCGTTCTGCGATCACGCTGCTGAAGGCTTGCAAAGTACTAATTTACCCACAAAACAATCTGTGTGGCTGCTTTCATTCCTGTCAAATCCTGAAGAAGGTTGCACCTTGAATGAATGAATGTATAAGGGATGGGCCTTCTTGGCCCTTGCACCGCGACCACAATGCTCAGGTTTTTACTCCTATTAAGATTGTTGTTGTCTTCTTCCGAATTATGACACCGTGTAGTCGGGTAGGTGAGTGCCAACGTTTCGGAACATTACACCTCGATGTTCACAGCAGAATATGATGCAAGCAGTGAGTTCTAGTAGAGAAGCTGGTACTCATGCATTCACTCATGGAGCTGAGCCCTTCTTGAGAAGCCGCCAGCTATGCTGCTACGCAAGAACTTCACAGCATTTTATGGAACCCGAAGTTTCATTACCGTGTTCACAAGGGCCCTCCACCAATCCCTATCCTGAGCCACATCAATCCAATCCATCCCATCCCATCCCATCATATCTCTCTAAGATCCACTTAAATATTGTCCACCCACCTGCGCCTTGGTCTTCCCAGTGGTCTCCTTCCTTCTGGCTTTTCCACAATATCCTACATGCATTCCTCTTCTCCATTCGTGCTACATACCCTGACCATCTCATCCTCCTTGACTTGATCATTCTAATTATACTTGGAGAAGAGTACAAGTTAATGAAGCTCTTCATTTTGCAGTTTTCTCCAACCTCCTGTCATTTCATCTCTCTTCCATCCAAATATTCTCCTCAACACCATGTTCTCAAACACCCTCAGTCTATGTTCCTCCCTTTATGTCAGAGACCAAGTTTCACACCCATACAGAACCACAGACAAAATTATAGTTTTTCTATATTCTAACTTTATGTTTTTAGATAGCAGACGAGAAGACAAAAGGTTCTGGACTGAATGGTAGCAAGCATTAACCGAGTTCAATCTCTTCTTAATTTCCTCCTGAATTAAGTTTTCATTTCTTATAGCCGTTCCCAAATATCTGGACTGTGACACATTTCAAAACATCTGTTAGCTATCATTATGTCATGATTCTGCCCTGCATTTTGGTGACGAGACAGTAACATGTACTTAATTTTCTCTGTTTACTTCTAGACTAGCCTCCTTACTTGCGTCAATTAAAGTCTGTGTGTTACTCTTTATGGTATCTACATTATTACACAGTATATTCCCATCATCAGCACAGACCAACACCCACCAGATAACACGGTGTCATAACCCGGAACACTGTTACTACTTCGCTCGTGTTCCACGCGAAGAACCCACTTCTCAAGCGCATGAAGATAGGTTAAAAGTAAGTCGCTATCACTTGGACTCAGGGATCGCCCAAATTTGACGCCCCTCGACTGTTTCTTGTGTGGCTATGTGAACAATGTCACGTTACGGTGTGGCGGGAAGCCGTGTAGTTAGGTATAGGCTTGCTGGTGTTTCTCTCCATGTGCGGGTTCTAAGAGTAACTAATCCACGTGACCAGCAAGTAGCAGGGAGCAGCAATATGCTGTTGAACCTCAAGATGGAGACATTACCTTGCTCCCTAACGCCAGTAATATTCTATCACAATACACGAGGACACGTCCCAAAATATAACTATGACAGTTACACACTTCAAACTTCACTGTAACTATAGCACATATAGAGTATTTTCAGTCTGCAGTAGCCGTTGCTTGGTAGCGGTTTCCAAAGGTGTACGTTCGTTCCCCTCCCTCTGGGTTCCCGAACGGTCCTCGGCCTCAGCTACCAGCTTCTCACTTCTCACAAAGTCAAAGTCAAAGTCACATTGCGACTGACGGTCAGTCAGTCAGTAAGTCTTGGTGTCGAGCCCCATCTGAGGCTCATGACCAGATATTAATTATTACAGTTTGACAGTTACTGTTTTATTTTCGTGGAGCGCCCTCTCTGACGAGAGGACGGGTCTGTCTTGTGCATATGCTGCTGGCCCTTGCCAGAGCGATCTTTCTCGGGTCGGAGTCCCTTGGGACTCGCGACCATATTTTACTGTCTCCGATATGAGACGTCCCTTTTCGTCGCTTCCTACGACTCGCAGGGTCACGGTGGAGGTATTCGACCCCGCCTCCACACGGGGGCTACTCGTCCACTTCTCACAAATACTACTAGTGCTCTCTCGTTGTAGAGGAACGTGTCCACAGAACTGTTCCCTAGCAACGGCTGTTGTACTGTCGCCTGTTTAGACATGTGATGAAATGTTAACGTTAATCTTCTTTCCCAGCGTGTAGGTCCAAATGTTAACAGAATGTGGCCTCCTTCCTGAACGCTTTGCAAGCAGGCCGCAACTGGGTCAGTGGCGTCACTCAACTTCACATTCGTCGTGACATGCATTCCTTTACACCAAAGTCGTCTAAACAAATACCTTGAGGGTTATTTGACGACACTGACAGTAGCTGGGCTATACGACGTCGAATAGCAGGGTGAGAACAACCGGAAAGGATTTGGAAGGAAAAGACTCGCGGCTTAATGGAAGTGCTATGCTTGAAGGGCTGACGAACACCGCGACAAAAGTCTGTCAGGACAGCCGGTGTCCTGCCACAGATCCGAACCGAGTTCCTCATGAAAGCAAGGTAACAGCGTCACCGCTAAGCGATCGCTTGTGTTCATTTAGATCCACCGGTGTGCCACGAGAAAATGATACCAAAACTGGATAAAAATGTGTTAGTTTAGAAAGCAGAGACAGCTTCGTATGAGAGAGACACGAGACGTCTTAACGAGCTGAGCAACGATCAGCTTCTCGAGAAGAAATCTACTCTATGGAGTAAGAAAGTTGTGACGTACAAGGTAAAGCTATCCCTTTCAGACTACCTCACGAATAGCAGGAGCCGGGATACCTCAGTCGGTATAGAGGCTGGCTACTGGCCGGACAACCGTGGGGTTACAGTTCGAGTCCCGGTAGGGTCAAGAATGTCGTCCTCTCCACGTCTTCCAGACCGGCTCTGGCATCAATCCAACCGCCTATCCAATGGGTACCGGGGCCTCTTTCTCCGGGGGTAAAGCTGACCACTCACCTCCAGCTAGTGCCGAAATAAAAAAAAAAGTGGGTCTATATATCCACTCCCCCATACGTCTTCATGGCGTAGTACTTAATTAGTTAAGCACAGGGACAACTTTACCTTTTTACGGACAAACATAGGAGCCGGGATACCTCAGTCGGTATAGAGGCTGGCTACTGGCCGGACGACCGTGGGGTTGCAGTTCGAGTCCCGGTAGGGTCAGAATTTTCTCTTCTCCACAGCGTCCAAATTGTCTCTGGGGTCCAACCAACCTCCTACACAATGCGTATCAGGGGCTCTTTCCTAGGGAGTAAAGAGCCCGGGGCGTGAAGCTGACGACTCACCTCCAATTAGTGCCGAGGTCAAGAAAATGTGGATCTATACATCCACTCCCCCATACGCCTTAATGTTGTACTGCTTAATTAGTTAAGCACAGGGACAACTTTACCATTATACCTTGCCCAGCTCACAATGTGCAGAATTACATGTTCTGCTACAAGCAACCCATCCAACACAGGGTTCCGTGCACAGATATTCCCTTGTGAATGAATAAAACCACCCAATCGAACCGGAGAGTTGACGGAGAAGCTAGTGCCAATTACGTTAGGCGTATGACACACACGGGCCTGCCACCCTGTTCAGTCCGTCTGCTTTTCCAGCACAAACACGAAGTATTCAGCAATGTTGTATCGACCAGTCACCTCACTGCAGAACGCTCAGATAAGCTCAATCATTACAGAACCACCAGTGGGGCGTGGCTGGCACCTGCAAGGCGGTATTCTGCGGTATAACGCAAG